TCCTTTCCGCGGGACAGTCGCGCTTGAAGTGGCCCATCTTCCCACAGCCGAAGCAGCGGATGTCACGCTGTTCGGCGGACCCGAGTTCCATGGGAACTGGTCCGTTGGGGCTTGTTCGACCGGGAGCCGACAAGGAACTCCCAGGCCACGCTCAAATCTTCAAGCACCATGACATCCAAAGTACTTAACAGGAACGTGTAGGACGAGTGCTACACCTTCTACTGCGTTGCTTAATTATCGGCAATCACTATGTTGTACGAGCCCCCCCCCCTATCAGCAAGTATTAAGTCCGACCGTGGCTGACGCGATGCTCGACCGTGGCTTGGGGAAATACGTTGTGGTGGGCGACCGAACGCCAGTCTCCACCTAATTGGTACTCGTCGAGGACACGCCGGCAGTCTGCGTGAGTGTGACGTTTAGTGGTTGTGGTGGGTGGGAGGCGGCATTGGTTTGACGAGAGCCAACTTTTGGAATGGCGAGACTGCAATAAGCTGTTTGTTGCCGAAAAATATCTGAAGCCAGTCGTCTTGGCGCGTGTTGCAGCTAACCTAACTTTACTTGAAAAGTGCTCACTAATTATGGTTGCAGCTAACCTAACTTTACTTGAAAAGTGCTCACTAATTATGGTACTTTAATGCCGTTCAAAATTAATTGTGTTAGTTTTGGATGTCTATCAGACAATAATGGCCGAAGCTGCTGTTAGGATGCGTGTGTACAGAATCTTTATCAGAAGATTTGAAGCTTTATATACCATGCTGTGAGCAACAGTATCAAGCGTATCAATGCGAGCGATCATTACAAAATTAATAGTCGAGGGTGTATTAATAAGTCGTAGACTGCATACAATTCATGCTTTGGTGTACCGGTCCATACTAGGTTCACCTTCGCGCAAACATTACAAAAGCACAGTAGTCAACATTAGGGATATTGCAGGTGTATGGCTCAAATGACAATGTTTCTTTGGCGCCTCCCGTACAAGGAGTCTACGTGTGGAGCCTTATTATGGCTATTTGTTACGTATTTAGCACATTTGGATTTGAGTGGGCACAGTACAATCATTCAGAAAGTACTTTTTTTATTTCAATTTGAGTTTGCTCGGTTTCGTCAAATAACTATGCCGCGCACAGCAGCAACCTCGCCTACGGATTTCATGCCTCAGAAACACCGTAGCAGCCCTTCAGACAGTAAGTTTTGATCAGGAAAGAACCTTACTCAATGAAATCACCGGGTGTTTCAACCTACGAAGTCAGAAAAATATATATATGTAATTATATTTTAGAATACACTTAGAAGAGGAGTCCTGTTTAGCAGCCACATAGCAATGCCTTACGTCTCCATAGAATGAAAAAAATAGAAAGTCGAGGACAAGTTATTAGTAGTAATATTTCTGCCAGTAATAGGGTGTTAGAATGGAAAAAGGGAAACATTGAATTCTTATTGTGATCACGCTTGTCGCTCCGTCATCATATTACGGTATGTGTCGTATCTTTTTACCGTAATCGTGCTGCACACAAACAGGTCATTTTCCGTATATATTCTGTCTGTTCCGTCTGGTTGGTACATGTAGTCGCACTGACGGTTACATTGCGTCGTTAGGACGCAGAGAGTCTGTGAGTGCTCACGCACTGCTGTCGAATGACGTACGACGGATCAATATGCTTCAGCTGCTCTTTTCGTTTTAATGTTGTGACCGATTCGATAGGGATCAGCTATTTTTCTCGGGGATTCCGTTTCTCATTTCTTTGGTCTAATGCTTAACGCTAGGACTCGTAAGTACATATACATCACTTCGTCTGTGTAGCACTTAGTATTTAACCAGCCCCGACAACCCTCAATTCAACTCGGATCAGCTCCTCCAATAATGCAGACCAGCTGGTGTCGGCTGCGGTTGGGTCTTCGCGCTGATTTGTCGTGAGGGCTCCAAGAGGGCGCCAACAAAACCTGATGGTCTCAGCAAAACACAAGTCGGAGCTTCAATGATTAAACTTATTAATAGCATAGACTGATATATAGCTCCACTGATTCGTATATTTAAAATATCGACCGATGCACGTTAGCTCTGAAAATTTGTTTTAAACGAAATATTATATGGTTAAAAGAAAAAGCTAAACGGCAGCCATGTTTTGACAACGATTATAAATCATTTCTTTTTGCGAAGCCGGCCACTATAGCAACTTCA